AGTCTCGCTTTGTTGCTAGAGTGAGTGCTGTGGCGTCAGCCTAGCTCACAGCAACCTCAAACTCCTGGGCTCAAGCAATCCTCCTGCCTCAGCTTCCCGAGTAGCTGGGACTACAGGCATGCACCACCATGCCTGGCTAATTTTTTCTATATATTTTTAGTTGGCCAATTAATTTCTTTCTATTTATAGTAGAAACGGGGTCTCGCTCTTGCTCAGGCTGGTTTCGAAGTCCTGACCTCCAGCAATACGCCCGTCTTAGCCTCCCAGAGTGCTAGGATTACAGGCGTGAGCCACCGCGCTTGGCCTCAGAGTAAGTTTTTTTTTGTCATTTGAAGACAGGGTTTCACTCTGTCACCCAGGCTAAAGTGCAGTGACCTCATCACGGCTCACTGCAGCCTCAAACTCCTGGGCTCAGGTGATCCTCCTGCCACAGCCTCCTGAGTAGCTGGGACTGCAGGTGCATACTACCATTCCTGGCTAATTGTTCTTACTTTTTTTTAGAAAAGAGGGGTCTCACTATGTTGCCCAGGCTGGTCTCAAACTCCTGAGTTCAAGCCATCCTCCCGCTTTAGCCTCCCAGAGTATTAGGATTACAGGCGTGAGCCACTGCACACACCCTCTCCCCCCCACAGGCACACTAACCCCTGGCAGAGTAGGTTTTTGCACGAGTCAATGAGTAGTAACTGATTAGACTATTCACTCACCGTGAAGTTTTCCAGAACTTACTCATGCTGACTTCCGGCATGAGCTGCCTTCAGGGCTCAGGGGCCTGTGGGGAGAACCTGCTGGCAAACAGTCGTCCCAGAGGCTGGGCTGCAGCAGTGAGGCGAGTGCTGGGCAGGGCAGCGCTGGGAAGGAGCAACTCTTGCTGCACGGCCCGTGGTTGGGTGGCTGATGGAGGTGCCACGGAAGCAGGATCTTGCCCCCTGGAGGGGTTGTGAACTGGGACATGCGTGCTAGTTGTGGTCCTAGGAACCTCGTGGGAATTTGGGCTGCTGGTCTAGGCAGGGGTATGACATGAGTCCTGGCCACCCCCTGTCCTAGCCCCAGCAGGCAGGGGCCCGGCCCCTCCCTGTGCTCACAGCAGGCCCTTGGCTCACAGCAGCACAGGACGAGGCAGGAAACATTTGCCACGTGGACAAGCAAATGAATGAAGGCTGGCCCTGAAGCTCAGAGCCCAGGAGCTGGGAGGAGTAGGGGCACCCCACGCGTACCCAGAAGCTGCAGGGGGCACCCAGGAAACAGTGGGGAGAGGAGACCCTGGGCTGAGGTGGCACAGGCCCCCGTTCAGAAACAGCCTTTGGCTGTTGAATTTGAGTGTTTTCCTGTGTCTGCCTGGGGGTCTCCGGGGCCAGCAGATTCATAAAGGTGGCCTAAGGAGACCCAGCTGGACCACCACGGCCAGGGTAAGATGTCTGCGTGTGGCTGCCACGGGATGCCTCGTGTCACGTGCCTTTGCCGCCCCGCCAGGCTGTCCCTTCCGCTCTTGCCACACATAGACACATGTGGCTAAGGACACAGGGCGCAGGGTGGCTCTGGGCTGCCTTTCCAGACACACTGCACGCACGCAGAGGGTGGGTGTGCGTGACCACACGTGTGTGAAGGATGCAAATTGGGATGCACGGGTCAGCCTCTTCCTCGTTGCCCAGGAAGGCGAGTTGGGAACAGGCCTCTCCCGGGCCAGAGGCTCCTGAGGGCGTCTTGGAACCACTTTCACATTCAGATCCAGTTAAGTATCAGATACTTAAACATTTTCTTGGTATATTCTTTTAAAAAAAGGCATGCTAAGAATTCTCTCTGAAGCTCTCATTTGCTTAGAATGGAATTCAATTAGGAACATATGTATTATCTGTAGAACTCACTTGTTCCTGAAATCAGATGAGGTTTAAAACATTTTACTAGTTTTTAAGAGCTCCAATTGTGTTTTCTAACTTTAATTAAAATGTAATTTATTATTATTATTTGAGACAGAGTCTTGCCCTGTCACCCAGGCTAGAGTGCTGTGGCATCAGCCTAGCTCACAGCAACCTCAAATTCCTGGGCTCAAGCAATCCTCCTGCCTCAGCCTCCCAAGTAGCTGGGGCTACAGGCATGCGCCACCATGCCTGGCTAATTATTTCTATGTATTTTTAGTTGGCCAATTAATTTGTTTCTATTTTTAGTAGAGATGGGGTCTCGCTGTTGCTCAGGCTGGTCTTGAACTCCTGACCTTGATCGATCCTCCCACCTCGGCCTCTCAGAGTGCTAGGATTACAGGTGTGAGCTTCCGTGCTCGGCCTAAAATGTAATTTAAAGTTCAAATTACAAAAATAACATGTGCTTATTTTTTGAATCCAAAAGGATAGAATCCTAAGGAATAGGAGTAGCCTGTTAGCAGTCTGGTGGTTGCTCCAGACTGTCTTAGTCCATTTTGTGCTGCTATGACAGAATAACTGAGACCGGGTGATCTATAAAGAAAATAGGTGTATTTAGCTCATGGTTCTGCAGGCTGGGCAGTTCAAGGGCACGGTTGGCTTCTGGCGAGGGCTTCCGTGCTTGTCACGACATGGCTGAGAAGGTCAACGGGGAAGCAGAGAGAGAACCCAAGCAGTGGCCTTGTAACAACCTACTCTCCCAGGAACTAGTCTATTCCTGGGAGAACTCATTCACTGTCATTCACAAGGAACCTGCCCCCATGACCCAAACACCTTCCATCAGGCCCCTCCTCCCAACACCACCACACTGGGATCAAATTTCAGCATGACTTTGGGTGGGGACAAACCACATCCAACCACAGCACTGACCTTTCCTGGGACCCTGGCCACAGACTAGCCTTCCGTGTGCATACCAGGCCTGGCAGGCAATACTACACCTAAGCAGATTTGCCCTTTTCTTTTTAAAAAAAGACATATTTGAACGTGTGGATGCCCTATTAAATATTTAACTGGCCACCACTGACGTACATTAAAATCATGCGTAGATTTTCTGCTTTTAAACAATGAAGTTGTAAGCACCCTTGCACAGGTGGACTAGTACACTGTGCCTCTCAGTCCCTAGAACTGGCACCGCTGGGTTAGAAGACATGCACACTCTAAATTTTGCTTGATTACAATGATCTGGACATGGAAACTCAAAGCACTTGCCACAAAATGCCCACGAGAAAGCACAAAAGGTGTGCGTGGCAAGTCCAGCTCCAGTTGCCCTGGGAGGAGCCGCTGTGTGGAGACACCACAGCTGGGTTATTTACTCACTCACTGAAGACACTGGGGTTGTTTCAGTTTCAGGTTATTATGAACAAAGCTGCTGTGAACATTCTTGTATAAGCTATTTTGCAAACATACTCTGTTTTCTCTTGGTAAGTATCTAGGAGTGGAATGGCTGGATCATGTGGTAGATAGGTGTTGTGTGTGTGTGTGACTTTATCTAAGAAACTACCAAACTATTTCCCAAAGCGGTCACACCATTTTATTTCCCCATCAACAATGTACGAGAGTATATACACATGTAATGGGTGCGGTGCACACCGTCTGGGGGATGGACATGCTTGAAGCTCTGACTTGGATGGGGTAAGGGCAATATACAGAACCTAAACATCTGTACCCCTGTAATATGCTGAAATTAAAAAAAAATTAATTTGAGATGAGTCTTTATCCTTTAAAAAAAAAAAAATTAAAACAAAAATGTCCAAGAGTTCCACTTGCACCACGTCACTGTCAACACTTGGTCACATCAGCTTGTAGAGATGCGGTCTTCCTGTGTGTCCCAGGCTGGAGTGCAGTCACTGTTAACAGGTGTGATCACAGCTCACCGCAGCCCCAAACTGCTGGCCTGAAGTGACCGTCCCACCGGAGCCTCATAAGTAGCTGAGATCACAGGCTGGTGCCCCTGCACCCAGCCTCCCTTTTTGTTGTTGTTTTAAGAAACTGCTGTTTATTTTCTGTTAACCTTATTTCCATCTTGCTTGAGGGCCTGTGGAAGAACAGCTGGAGACCAGTCACTGGTTGTTCCTGCCCGTTCCGTGGCCTGGGCAGTGGGCGCTGCACAGTCTTCGGTGGGGAACTGCGGAGTAGGCACAGGCCACCTGCGTGCTGTTGGGCCAGGCTGCAAGCTCAGGCTGCGTGGCAGTGAATGCTGGGGCCGGAGCGGCACACGCGCCTCTTTGGCCACGGCGGTTTTAGCAGCGGCCACTGTTTATCAAGCAGGCCTCAACGCAGCTCAGCTTAGTGATCTGACAAACATGTGAGATCCCTCCTGCCTGCCTGGCACTGTGCTGGTGTTGAGGCAGGAACACAGGCAGGACCATGTCCCTGCCCCACAGCCTGTAATGTTTGATCAAACAGAACATTTCATTCTCAAAATTCTGGGTAGTAGAGGGTTTTACAGTAATTTTATTTTATGTTTTCAGAGATGGTAACTTGATCTGTAACTCAGGCTGAAGTGCAGTGCCGTCATTATTGCTCACTGCAGCCTCAAACTCCTGGGCTCAAGTGATCCTCCTGCCTCAGCCTCCCAAGTAGCTGGGACTACAGGCATGCGCTACCATGCCCGGCTAATTTTTTCTATATACAGGCACTGACCAAGACGCCCGGCTAATTTTTCTATTTTTAGTAGAGACGGGGTCTTGCTCTTGCTCAGGCTGGTCTCAAACTCCAGACCTCAAGTGACCATCCTTTAGCGTTGGCCTCCCAGAGTGCTGGGATTACAAATGTGAGCCACTGTGCCCAGCCAATCTTTTAATGAAATCATTTTAAACATCTCTTATAGTTACCCACATAGCCACCTTCTCAGGTATTCTTCATTCACTAGTGCAGAACTGGGATTCTATTTGAGATCATTTTCCTCTGACCAGAGGAATTTCCTTTAGTGTTTTTTGAAGGCTAGGTCTTCTGGTGACATTCTCAGCTTTGGTTTATCTGAAAACATCTTTCATTGCCTGTAATTTTTAAAGGACATTTTTGTTAGATATTTAATTCTGATCTCAATCACTTTTGTTTAAGTATTTTACACCTGTCATTTCTTTGTCTTCTGGCTTCCATTGCCTTTGATGAGGAGTCTGCTGTCATTCTTATTGCTGGCTCCATGAATGTAATGTGTCTTTCTTTATTTGTCTCCTTTTAGAACTTTCCTCTTTGGTGCTGATTTTCAGCAGCTGAACTATGATATGCCTCCATGTATTTTCCTTGGAACCTATATATTTTTTGAGTGCTTGCTGAACTGTTTGGATGTGGGTTGGTATTACATGGTTTCATCAATTTGTAACCTTCTTACATAATTATCTCTTTAAATCTTTCTTCTGGCACATTTGCTTCCTTACCTCCTTTTGGGAGTCCAATTTTACATACATTTGACCATTTGATCTAGTCCCCCAGGCCTCTAATATTCTTTTCTGTTTTCTTTCTTTCCCCTCATTTTTCTTCTTTCTCTGCATTTCAGTTCAGACCATTTCTGTTGATGTGAATCTGAGTTGAAAAATCCTCTCTTCGGCTGTATCTAGTCTGGAGTTCAGCCAATTCTATGAATTCTTCATTTCCGATATTTTAGTTTTTCCTTTACACTAGTGAATTTTACACAGCCCTGCTTCTAAAGCCTTTACTCCTGGGGTGTTGCCTTTCTGGGGTCTCAACTGAGTTCTTAGGTTGCACCAAGATCTTTTACCTTTGTCACAACATCATCCAGTCCTGTGAAAACTCTGCAACTTCCTTTCAGCTCTCATGCAACACCTACAATCAGATGAGGTTCAAAGAACAAGGTTTTACATAAACTAAGAACAGAAAAAAAAAAAAAAGAACAAGGTTAGGCTGCTGTAATAAAACTTCCTCTAGTTCTATTTATTTATACATCTACACTTATGAAAGAAAAGGGATACTACTGATTCGGTACCCTGCCTCATTATAGCAATAATTACTTCTCATCAGTGGATACAGAAACTAATTATCAGGGGAAAAAGCTCTACACATGCTATTAAAAGCTAGCTCTCCAATATAATTCAACTTTTTAGTCTTGATCAAAATTTTACATGTATTTATGTTGCTTTGACCTATGATGAGCTAATAATAGTTGTAATATTAATACTAATTCAATCTAGGAGAAATGTTTCTAACATGAGACTTAAGTTCACAGGAAATTATAAATCAAATGTATGTGTATACATGTATTTTATATATCTGGGCCTAACCTGTAAAAATAATAGGGTTAGCAATAACTTGTGTTCAAGCATAAACACCTATTGCATCTAGAATACAATCTGTGTGGGAATTTGAATGGAAATGAGTTCAGGAGGAAAAGATTTAATGTAAAACTCTTGACTGTTAACCAAGAGGTTGTTTGTATATTTATAAAACGCAGGATGATGGGTTTCAGATCATTCTGGTTCATTTGGTACATTTAAGAAATGATATCTGGTTTTATTTTAAAAGTCAATATTTACAATATTTGGGAAATTACACCCACTGCAACTATTTAAAGATGACAGAAATGGTTGCTATTATCTTAAATGTGGGGGCTTATAGATTTTCACAACATCAGTTTATTGGGCACGCATGCAAAAAGCGCTAAGGATGGGGGGTCCAGCTGCCTTTTCCGTAGCTTGAATGATTATAAGGGAACACATAACAGATTTCCTTGTTTTCAATTCAATTTTGCCCCCTAAAGCCCACATAGGGAAGAGATGGCCCGGCGCGCCGCCCGGTGGCGGCGCGCGTGCTCCCGCCCTCGCGCCGCTCGCTCGCTCGCCGGCCGGCGGCCTCGGCTGGCCTCGCTGCGGAGCCGGCGGCCGACTTCGCGCCTGGGCCTCGGCCGCGCCCCGCGCCCGCGCCCGGCGGCCGCGGGCCTCACGCAGGCCGATGGCGGCGGCCGCGGCGGCGCCTCTCGGGCGCGGCCCCCACCCGCAGGCGGCGCGGCCGGGGCGGCGGGGCCGGGCGGCGGGTCGCCGGGCGGCTGGGCGTGGCGCGGCTCGAGGCCGCGAGTTCGAGTACCTGATGAAGAAGCGCTCGGTGACCATCGGGCGCAACTCGTCGCAGGGCTCGGTGGACGTGAGCATGGGCCACTCGAGCTTCATCTCCCGGCGCCCACCTCGAGATCTTCACGCCCCGGCGGCGGCGGCGGCGGCCATGGCGGGGCGGCCCTGAGCGGCGGCCGCGCAGCCCCGGCCGGACGCGGCGGCGACTTCTACCTGCGCTGCCTCGGCAAGAACGGCGTGTTCGTGGACGGCGTGTTCCAGAGGCGCGGGGCGCCGCCGCTGCAGCTGCCGCGCGTGTGAGTGGCCGCGGGCGGGCGGGGGCGGTCTGCGGCCTGGCGCGCGGGCGGGGCGGCACGGGGCCGACCACTGGCCGGGCAGGTGGACCGGGATGCGCGCCACGAGCCCCCGCAGACCCGCGACCCGACCCACACCACGACCCCCACCCACGACCGGACCCACACTCCCACCCGCCCCGACCCCAGGACCAGGACCGGACCCGGGCCCGACCCACTGCCGGGCAAGGTGGACCGGGATGCGCGCCACGAGCCCCGCAGACCGCGACCCGACCCCACACCACGACCCCACCCACGACCGGACCCACACTCCACCGCCCCGACCCCACGACCAGGACCGGACCCGGGGCCGACCCACTGGCCGGGGCAGGTGGACCGGGATGCGCGCCACGAGCCCCCCGCAACCCGGACCCGGACCCCACACCACACCCACCCACGACCGGACCCACCACTCCACCTGCCCGACCCCCACGACCAGGACCGGACCCGGGGCCCGACCCACTGCCGGCAGTGGACCGGGATGCGCGCCACGAGCCCCGCAGACCCGCGACCCGGACCCACACCACGACCCCCACCCACGACCGGACCCACACTCCCACCCGCCCGACCCCCACGACCAGGACCGGACCCGGGGCCCGACCCACTGGCCGGAGCAGGTTGACCGCGTCTTGCGACCGGGGTGCACGCGATGAGCCCCCAGCAGACCCGCGATCCGGACCCACACCACGACCCCCCACCCACGACCCACGTTCCCACCCGCCCCGACCCCACGACCGTGACCGGACTCAGGCCCACCCCACGACGGGCTCACACCTTAACCCAC